AAACATGCATTATTGTACTCAAGAGGGGAGTTTGACAGAGTAGCCTACACAGTAAAAGTACTCTAAATAGTATTTATCAATCCTCAACCTCCAAGCTATTTTAATATAGATTTGAAGAAAAAAACATCGATGCTAACTTGACCACGCAAACGGGAAATACGGCCGCATCAATTCAGCAGTGTCAGTAACATCAAACAGAGAGATACTCATACTTTATAAGATAGGGATTCATGGCTGACAGTGCAAGACAGACAGACAGATAGACAGACAGACAGACAGACAGACAGACAGACCGACAGACAGACAGACAGACCGACAGACCGACAGACCGACAGACGCGCACACACATACGCACCCACACACGGACAGACTGTCTTCTGTATGTTTTGCATGTAGCCATATATTCAATGTATATTCATGCAAACACGCACTGCACTGTCTAGGCAAAGAGTATGAACCTTTATTTTGAAGAGTACAGCGAAAGCATAGGGCAAACTAGCCAATCAGAAGCAAGGAGGCACTGGAGACCCACCCACCTATGGAAACGAAACATTGAGTGGTATACTTGTTTTAACAGTAAGAACAGAAAAACGAAAAAACGAGCTGAATTTCCGTTTTTTGGTTTTGGGGCAAAATTGAAAAACAAAAAAACGACCCGTTTCTGTTTTATTATTAGTTTCAATTAGAACTAAAAAACAAACGGTTAAAACGTACCTTGGTCCATGTGTACTGTTCTTTTCTGAATGTTCAACATCACACAAGGTTGTACAGGAGAGACCAACAGTAATCTCAACTTCACCACAAACAAACCCCATCTGTTGTTGAAGACCCAGACATGCCCTGGGGGGAAAATGTCCTGGGTGTCTTTAGTGTGTTTGGAGTGTCCAACTATTTTATGCAAATTCTAAATATTGTGTGTGATTTTCCATTCCCAATGGTAAAGAGTTAAAGAATAAAGTTTGCTTGCATTGTTTTCATTAAATGTGTTGTCAACTCATCTACATTATTATATCTCTTGTTCTGGCACGTTCGATTGTTAGAGACCAGTTTCTGTTAATACCTGACCACAAGTAGTAAACTGTACCATTCTGTAAAGAAATACCGTGCATTTTCAAAAGTTGGAAAACAGCTGTTGGTCTTAGAATATGTGTCCTTTGGTGTCATGTTGACATCTTACAAAGCTAGACAACCTCTCAAGTCTATGTTCAAGTGCAGATTAAGTGCCTGTACCTTGAACTCTAAGCTACTTAATTATCTACCGGAATGTGTATATCTTTAATCATTTTTATTTTACTTGAAATACTATGTGCATGCCTTTTGTTTATATAAAAGTGTTCTATTTTCTTTGTCTATATCTATACTTTGGTGTAAAAACGTAAATGTCTCCCTTAAAGGAATTCTGATTCTGTTATGTCATTTGTGCTAACTCTACACCACAACATTCAAAAGTCTGTTGGTGGCGCTAAAGGGAAAGGCACTGAAAAACTAATGTCATTAGCATTCATCACGGGAACCATTAATGTATGCACCCTATTTCATGGCAATCCATCCAATAACTATTGAGATGCATAAGTCTGGTTCAAGGTTGTGGATTGACCGCAGAATTTACATTATAATGGAATTCTCTATTCTTGATATTATTCTGCTAATATCATTGCTCTTTTGTCAGTATAACATGTTGTACAGTACATCATAAGACAGGAGAGAACATTTATGACAAAAAACCTAAACTTTTCATCAATGAATGTCACTTTACAATGAACTACTTGCTTATTGTGTCAAAATAGTATGTATTAAGATATATATATATATATATATATATATATATATACATATATAAGCTGTTTTTGTCTAATAAAAGTATGGTTTGTAGTTTTGGTTCATCATTTTCCATTTTGAGCAGATTTTTTGCTAAAGAACAGAGTTCATCCTGCATCTGTTTGAGATGAGTCTGATTTAAAATGTAAAATGTACTCCCAGATGGCAGCAGAAGGCAGTGCTTAGTATACTGCATTCAGGGATTGTAGATGCTTCTTGCCTTCTGCAGAGCCTTTATTTCAGACGCAATCCTGTGCAGGTCACCACTCATAGTTTATTGTCTTCCTAGAAGGCTGGAGCAAGTGAGAATACTTTATGAGCGATCCACAGCAGCAAGAGACTATCTTAGGAAGTAAGGTACAGAACATGTGGTTTCTTTATTTTTGGATTACTGACACAATACTGTTGGAAATGAGATTTATCGAGTTTGGCACTGAGGAATTGTTCATTCTCTTAATGACTGTAAATTCAGCGAAAAGTTTAATTAGACGTGTCTTCCTTCTAAAATCTATCAGCAGTCCCCCCCCCCCCCCCCCCCCCCCTTTTTTTTTTTAATGACGTACAGTTTGTACACAATTATTCTCACACCAATGCACCCACTCCCTTAAGCATTTTTAAAAATTGCTGTCCCCTGTTTAAAAATCTGAGAGCTGAGTCATCTCTGTAGTTCACTCTATAAATGGGAGATTACACTTTGTCAAAAACAGCGAGAAAGTCCTGCAGATGTGTTTGAGAGGAAGAATGTGCATTGGAATAATTGTGTGCAGGTTAATGGACGCCAAACCTAAGTGTCAAACACCATTTAATGTACCATTTCATAAATTGTAGCACAATATTATTCCTACAGCTCTGGATTTTAAATAGCATTCCTGGCAGCAAGTCCTACATCACTGCATATCAATGATGCTAAAAGGTGAGGCTATAATTTAGAAACCAACTAGATTATAATAAATGTCTTCCCTGTCATAAACTAATTTTCATTATTTCCTAGATAGACACCAACAAGTTATATATGTTATAGGTTACCATAGCCAATGGTGGAAGCAATTCAGATCTTTTGGAACAGTGAAAGTTGTGATACCCAAGGGTAGAAATAAATATTAGCTTAAAAATGTGCATGTACCAAAGTATTCATAATTCACAATAACTTTAACAACTTCAACACCCTCACTACAAATGCCAGGGTTTTGCTGCTACAAACTTATTTGGTCCAATATCTTATAGAGGCTAGCCTTAGCAACACTTTGCTACATTCTTGCTTCACAGACTTTGACTTTAAAAAATGTTTTTCAAGTTAGTTTTTAATTGTGTTTCGGTTTCTTTTGTCATTGACATATTGATATAAAACACACTCTTGCTCAATGGCTGTACTAGAATCCGGAGTTTTGCTGATAAAGCGTCACTAGCTTGGATGATTAGCTTAGCTTAAAGTGGCTAATGTTAGCAAACTAAAAAGACATATTTCTTTGTAGCCCCTTACTGCTCTTATTTAGGCAGCTAGCTAACTTTTTCACTCTTCGCTTGTGGAACACTTGGGCATCACAAAATGTAACAGTCTTACTTTAAACAATAGTAGAACTTAGGATCTCTTATTAGCTAAAGTCTTATTGCAATTTTGTTCACAATTTTCTTGAGCAGCTGCATGTCATATAAAGATTTAAACGCTTTTGATTAATTGATGTGGGTTTGCACAAGCCCCACATTGAGATGGGAGCCTTTGTGCTTGCTGTATTATTTAGATGGCTTTAAAAGCATGTCAACTCAATTACAGGGTTTTTTATGAGAAAGATCATGTCCTGTCCCACTATGTCAGTAGCAGCATCTCAGCAGAGGAGCAGGGAATACCTCCGACCCTGCATTCAGCTGGAAAAGATGGAGGCTTACTGCGCACCACTGGAATTTCAGCCCAAAAATATGCCACATTGAATCATTGTTTAGTTCTGTAGTTAGATTTTGTTACAAGTTTTACAAGCTACTTTCATGTTTCTTTTGACATTTAAATCTTTAGAGACATTTCATTTTGGGTGATGTCTGATCAGATATTCTTCCTTTTAGATTTAGATATTTACTTCAGATATTCATGAGTTTAAAAAAAAGAGGTCAAATTTGCATTCGAATGTTTTTTTTAAATGCAATTCCATCAGTGGTCTTATTTAAGAGTCAGTGTTTCATCACCTGTTTTAAACCTGGTGCTTAATTCAATTCACTTCCCAGATACACGCTGAATGACAGGAGCTAAATTGTAAATCCATTAGAAACTGATTTGAAATGTTTTTAGTTAACTGGAACTTCCGATTAGGTTTCGCTTAATGCATAAGTTCAGGTTTGCTTCATTAAATCAAAGGGAGGGGAGGAGCATTTTGTTACTGAATGCTGCCTCATTTCAATACACAACGCCTGCAGACTCAGCAATATCACTGTACTTTGATCTTTTGCCGCTTCCATGAAGCAACCTGGAGAACGACATCATGCTGCATATAAAGCTGTCCTCGTGATTCCAATGCTTACTATGCAATACCTTTCCAGAGAAAGCATTAGACGTTTTCTCAACACAGACAAAGCAAGTTGCAGTTTTAGTGCTCTTCCAGACTTACTTTAATATAGCTTTACATTTTACAACATTTCGCTCTTGTTGTAAATGCATCAATCATTAATCCTTTTTATGCTTACGCTAGTGTATTAAAGGCGATGGAGCAGTTTAAAGCTGGGAGGCCTTGATAAAGAAGGCAAGTTTGTATGCAGAAGGTCAGCACAACAGAAAGTCATCAGGAAATATAACTCTGAGAGTGATTTGGTATTTTATGGGCCTGAAACATTCAAACTTAGTCTCCTGAAATGTCCTTCCCATACAACAAAGCTATATTGTCATTTACGGGAAGTATATTTGTATTTGACATATTACAAATACGGTTCAGTCAGCTGAAGTCCAAATAAGGAGTTTGAATAGATAGATGGTTCTTTTCGTGTAAAGCCAAAAGTCAGGACTTCAGTATTTTAAGGCAAACCATCATGTTTTACTCAATTTAACCAAGTATGTTTTGTGTTCTTTTGTTTTATTTCAATTTACAATGTTAACCACATGTTTAAAACGAAGTGAAGTCCAGAAGATAATCATATCCATTAAGGTATAACCAACACTGGTAGTTTCTCTCAAAATCATAATCATACAATATCACAACTGATTTTATCTTAAGACATTTTATTAATATTTTCAATTGACAGTATCAGCCAAAAACAAACATTGAAAATGAAAATCATATCATGTCAATGGAACGAGAGGGCTTCAGGACAAACAAAGGAGGATGAATCCATACCAGTTCCATCATAGACTATAAATAAGATGAATTCAAACAGAGCCTCTCTGCTGTTTTGTTTGACTATATACTGTATCTAATGCAAAGTTTAAAGAGCGAGGGAATGGAGCCGGGGTCAAGGTTCAGGTCAAAAGGTAATTTCTGTGGAAAAATGGGTTTGGGCTTTTGGTCAGGAGATGCAAGTCAGGCACAGCATAGATTGCAGGGATGTTCATGACGTCAGAAATGGAAAGGGACATGGGGGAGAGTTGAGAGGTGAAAAGCTTTTGTAGAAGTTTCAGACAGCTCATGGTCAGGGAGGTCAGGTGGCAGAAGAATGAGGGTTTAAAGAACTGTAGCGTGCTGACAGTGCACTTATTCCTTCTGATTTTGTAACTTTTGGGGGCTTGAGGAGATGAAAGGGGCGGGGGTGTCTGGCATATGAACCTGGTATATGTTGCCAGGCAGCTGGATGTGGGAGTGGTCTCGAGGGAGCAGGGCGGGGCAGGCAGAGAAAATGATACACAACAAAACAGGAGGAAGAATCACACAGTGGGCTCCTTGCAGAGGACAATTTCCAGCTCGCCACGGTAGAGCTTCCCTCCGTCAGACAGGCTCATGATGCTCTGCTTGTAGCCCGCCAGGCTCTTAGCATCCACATCCTAAATGACAGAAAGGGGGTTAACAAATTGACAATAAAACTGCGGAGGCAGTATAGTGATATTGGAGCTAAATTATATTTTTGCTAAACCTAAGCTTTCGGGTATTGGACAAAAGCAGGAAATATGTGCTGATAATGGGCATATTTACCAATCTGTATTCTTTTTTTTAAATCAATTGTTGATTGGACTATAACAACAACAAAATGCATCTTGTTTGATCTGATTTCCTGCATGTCTAACCAACCCCTGTCATCTATTAAATAAAGGAGAAATTACAAAAAGAATCACTCGATTTCACTCCATGTTAACAAGATTCCTCTTGTCCCGTTTACATTTCCGTTAAAGTCCATGCATTCATCATACCATTGTGCCTTTGGTTTCACCAATATACATTTCCCTGCAGTCAATACAATTTGGTGGCATCAATAAAGCTGTTGATTGAAGCTTTTGCACCACTAAGAGCCAGAGCAGTCAATTCGTCATAAACAGCTTGGTCATGTTTACTACTTCTATTATTGTCACTCTACCATAATCTCATATAATGGAGTTTTAATGAGATGTTTTTGTTTCTGTTTGGTTTTCCTCTCTTCTGATACATGTTACACTACACAGAATGCACTGGGAGGTCAACAGCTGAGAACACCATGATGATCTTTGAGGAATGGTTTCAGGTGCCACAAGTCAAAAGACGGAAGATTACAAGCAGTAGAAGATGCACACAGTGCTGGTATAAAGAATACATGTGAACATTGATTAAAGCCCCCATCTCACCTTCTTGTTTTTCTGGTAAAGGTCTCGTAGCAGGGCATCCAACTCCTGCTCATCAATGTAGCCATTGCCATCCTGAAAGAATGTATAAGAAACATGCAGAACATATTATTTTCATCTCCAAGCATTACGTTTGTTTAATCTAATATTAGATTTTATGTAAAGAGTCTTTGAGCACCAGGATAAACGCTATACAAATTAAATATATTGTTATTATTATCATTAATATGGGCGTCAAAGTACCATTAGCATTATAACATACATCTATGTACAAGGACCAGATGAACTATGTTTAGTGTTTGTAAAAATGCTTAAAGGCTTAAGAGCAGGCTTTTAAAATAGAAAAGAATGTGTATCCACCAAATACATCCACAGATAAATTAAAAACATTTCAGTTAATTGGCAGAACTCAATATTGTGATGTAAGGATTTAGCAAGCTGGTCAAGCATTAGCCTTTGTATGTAAGTAAAGTAAAAAAGTAGTTGTTTTCAACCAGATTTTTCTAGTTTTCATCAAAACATTCTGCATTCCTTCCTAAACAGCGTGCACCAGCTAGATTTAGTGCCCTGCTCTGCTGCTTGACGTCATTCAATATTTTATGGCAACCATCATCAATGCATCAGCCAAATGGCCTTTCATGAATTATGATTTAAAAGGACTTCCCATTCTCAACTCTGTAAAGGGGGTTAGCTGTAAAGTCGATATGCTAATTCATGAGTTATGGCTCACAGTAGTGTTTAGTTTATGGCCAAAAAATAAGTCCAAACTGTTGGAAATGTTTCCTTGGCAAGAAAAACAAAACCATGTTCTGTTCATCTAGGCTCCGTCTCAAGATGACTTCAGAGCTTTACTTTGGGAAAAGTTTGATGTTTACAGCTAAACTGACTTTGCCAGATCTTGGGAATAAAGTGTGAATTGTATTTATTTTCAACACGGCAACTCTGCAGAGTTGTGTGAAAGCGGAGCAACATCAGGTATCATCTGGTCTTTCTGAGTTGCGTGCCATCTTTTTTATTTCAGAGACATTTTCAAGACTTGTTAGCGTTCAGCTGACCGGCTACACACTGCGAGGATGCTCTCAGCACTAGTGACAGCAGCTCTCTGTGTTTCAGCTGCAGGGTCTGAGCTCATAACAAAATGATGAAACTAATTACATCCATAAATGGTAGTGCTTTATTCGCAGAGATAGTCTACATGAATGGGCTGCAGTGGCTCATCCATAATTGAACATTCAACTCTGTCCTCTGCAAGTGAGCTAGAGAGAGTGCTTGCCATCAGTCCACCCGAGACACTGACAGGGACATGCACGCAACCAACCACCCACTGCTATAAAGGACTGCCCTGTTAACTGAAGTCAATACAGTGACAGGAATTAACAATTACATATAGTAATGTTGAGCTTACATGTTCATAATTGACCTTGGGAATACCAGTTTTTTTTTTTTTTAAAGGTATTTTTAGCGCACTGACTTAATGGACATTTGCATGGCCTTCATTGGCAGATGGAAAAAGGGTGTGGCTGAGAAACTTTACAAAAACTGATGAAGCCTGGTTTCTTTCAACTCAAGAAACGAGCATTCGTCGAATCCATGGTGGGTTTTTTCTAGTACATTTGGTCCAGTAAAAATGGTTGTATTCTGCATTTTTGCTTCACACAATGAATGTTTAAGACAGCATTAGAGAGATTTATTTTAACATTTTCAAATAAAGTGTTGTTTTATCAATCACTATGACAGTATACAGAAGCATTAGTGTAAGAACTGACCTAGCAAACGAGCTAGCTAAAGCACTGATGCTGCGCCACATCGAGCTAAGTGGTTTAAAATGAAGTCATCCTTTTAATAGCTACCAAACTATATTGTTTGTCCCTCAGTCTGTCAAAAACTCACAACATATCATACAAAATAAAAATGTTTTAGTAGATTTGCAACCCTCCCCTGTAACTCTGCTCTGCTCTGCTCCTGTCTGTCGTAAAAGATCGCTCCCTGTAGTCCCTTCCCACCGATCTGCTGCTAATGTGGAAAAAGTGGCCATTAACTGAACCACCGCTCAACCACCCAGAGCTGTTTACAAAGGGACAGGTGTGCCTAACTCATTTCCCTAGTTGGGAAGCACCAGAGGCAGGAAACAATGAATTTGCATATTTATGATTTTGCACAAAAGGGAAACTCCAAAATAAATCAGCACGAGTCATCCAGACAACCTGACTCACAAGTCTAGACTACTTTTATAGCCCTGCATTTCAATTTGTTGGTATTTTACAGTGTAAAAAAACTGTGCATTCCCCTAATCCTCACAATTTGTGTTACAGTAGCCTTCAGATACAGTATAGGCCTACTTTTGTACCCAAAAATCTACCTCTCCCACTGGCCGCAGCAAAATTATATATGTAGCCTATTAACTTAAATGTAGTATTGTATGATATTGTAATTTTACAGTGTTAATATACAGTACAGACCCCGAGTCATTTACCATGTTAGCATATTCGTTTTCAGGCACAACAGCATACTTATCCAGACAAAACCCTACATGTCCCATCTCTTTTTAAGCTAAATTACATTTGTACCCTTTTTATTAACATACCCTATTATATTGTTTTATTACAGCGAAAATATATAGCAAGCTACTGGCCAAATGTCCTGTTAGCTTACTTGTCTACGTTGACCATGACAACCGGTATGTCAACATAGTTTTGTTAAATTTACAGTAAAAAAATATTTTCCATATTCATTTCCCCCTTAAATGAAATGTCACGTACCTTGTCATAGAATGTGAAGATGGCATTGAACTGCTCAGTGTTCAACTTGACACCCTGATAAAACAAGGTATGTTTTTGATTAACAATCTACACATTGCTAAATAGCAGTAGTAAGAGTAAGACAACATTTTCATCAATCTTCAATCATTTATATAAAAAAAAAATTACTTCACCATAGTAAGTATATCAGTTACAGAAATTGTGTGAAATTTAGCTATTTCGTTTTTGCTTAATCATTTCTTCGTGTACTGTGTTTATTTCCTACCTGGAAGCTGAGCAAGAAATTCTCCTGAACAGGGAGGAGCCTGTATGAGAGAAGGACTTCATTAGCGGACACGATAGTTAGTTAAATTATTCAAATCGATGGTGAATGAACATCAGAAGGCAATGTTTTTCATCTTTTATATAGTGAACAGAGTCAAATTGCACATTACCTTGCCATCTCTGACAGGCCCAACTTGCCATCTCCATTCAGATCAAACATCCTGAGCTACAAAGTGGAAACAGAACAGAGATAGGAAGGGACAGAGGAGAGATACTGAAAGAAAGTTTTTCTATAGCTATGTGCTGTAAAGATAAAGGCAAATGTGGTCCCATGTAATTCACTGAGAAACAGAATGGACAGCCATAAAGTTTCTACCTTTATTATACATTTGCAACTTTTAACTTCTGCATAGTGCTAGATGTTTAACAGAATGCTGGTAAAGGGACCGCGTATAAAACAGGCTTCACCCATTTCACCAATGCAGTTGATGGTGATTTTCTTTTAAATAATCGTAAGAAAGAAAATAATACAAGAGGGTTTCCAAATTACAATTTCTTCAACATAACATTATAGAAAAGCTAGATGTTGGCTTCTAATTCTGCAGACATTGTGATATATTTGCTATTCTTACATTCATCTGAAACAAAACAAAAAGTTCCCAAACAATTAAACTGTTGGAAAATACTAGGAAACTGATTTGGTAACATTGGTTACATTGTAAATTATAACAAAACAAAACAAACATGCAACACAACTACTTGGTTATGTTATGGAAAAAAACTAAGCGCAACTAAGATTAAAATAGGTCAAAATAAACTTTTGTTTTAACATGGGACACTGACAGCATTCTTCCTGATAAAGGTACCAAATGTAATCTGGGAGAAAATACATTATAAAGTAATTTAAAATGCAAATCTCTTTTGACTTGCTGTATCACTCATAATTATAGTGTTTACCATCTGTGGTATGTAAATGTGCGTTAAAGGAATGAAGAAACAATAATGAACAAGTTTATCTAAAAGTGTCTTGCAGTAAAGCTTCAGAAAATTAGGTCAGGTCTGCTCTGGGGCTTCAAGAAGAAGCAGATGTTAGCACATCTGCACTGTAAACACACAACCTGCAGGACATGATGGGTCACGACCACTCGGCCGCACAGCGCTGCTGCCACCAACATATAGGCCTCTGAGGTCCCCCAGGCCAGTTGAACATTAAACATATACAGTTAAAAAAAAAAAAGTAAAAGCAGATAACCTGAAGTCAGTCACTTATTTGTGTTTTATCTATATATAAAATATATATTTTTTTTTTCAGTATTTTTTTGTTACTGACAGCATTATTCCAAGCTCAGAGTGGAAGTTTTTTACTACAGCGTGGTGCGCTGTCTTCTTGTGGCAGGGAACACAATCTTTGAGTCATGACATATACAAATCCAATTAAAACATTAAACTGACCATCTGTCTTTTAGAAATGTGTGTATTTTTGGTCAAAATCAATTAAGTGTAACCTCTGTGTTCCTGATGCTGAGCATTAAGTTAACACTAACAGAATTCTGGAAACTGTCTAATTATATTGTGCATCTGGCACTCCTCATTTTGCATGTGTGTGTGTGTGTGTGTGTGTGTGTGTGTGTGTGTGTGTGTGTGTGTGTGTGTGTGTGTGTGTGTATGTGTGAATCTTACTATGGTCTGTGTGTACTCCTGGAGCTTCTGGTCATCATAGTGTCTGTTAGCCTTCTCCAGCAGGTCGGACAGAAAGCCCTGAGGACATAGACACAAAAAGATTAAAAAAAAAAAAAGGAAATGTGAAAGAACATGCAGAAGTATCACACATAGGGTCCTCGGCTTTTACCACTGAAAAAATAACAAAGCAAAGCAAGAGCTGCCTTTAATCTAAATCATCAAAGTTTATTTAGTAGATGAATTTAAATGTTTTCAAATTCAATTGAATTAATTTATGTAGAAAGTAAAGGAACATTTGTGGGAAATAAATACATAAGAAGGGTTCAAATACAAAAATATATCGTAGAGGAAAAATTAAAAGGATGAAAACAGAAAACAACAATGATGATATCAATGGTCTTTGTTGTTAAAACCTAATCAGCTATGTCACTTAAGCTATTTCGTGCAGTAAATGTAGTGCAGTAATTAAGTATTCTTAGCATTCTTAAAGGCTAGTTAAACTTGAGTCGATGTATTACAAATATTTTCCACGTCCGCTCACAATCAGGACGTTAGTCTGCTGCCTGGGATCTCATCTGCATTTTTCCAAAGCTTTCAAACGGCCACACCTGAGCAACTCATCTGCACCTGGTCAGCTGGAAGAAATGTGATCCCATAGCAACAAAAGCAGCCTAATCTGTACATGAAGCGTAATCACTGACCCCATAATATTCGACTCCCCAGTTGGAGCACTTTCCTTTATATAACAAGCCTTTTCCCTAGAGGCGCTGAAGTGTATAACATTTGTGCAATCTAAAAATGTTTTTGCATCTGAATCCTCACCTGAAAAAAACACTCATGGTCATTGGAGGATTTCCTGTGGAGCAGCCACTTAACTCTCTTCTGTCAAAGCTGCTGCCTGGCTTTACTGACCCAAGTGCTCACATGTTTTTAAAAATAAAGGGGGAATCACACTAAAACTCAGTAATGAACATTTTGAGATGTTGATGATCTGTGGAAGTATTTAGCTAACATATAATTTGATGGCTTTAACAATGCAAACAACTAACATTTCCCTAACCCATCTAAAGCCATATGTTTCTTATCTTAACTTAGCATTTTCTTTAAAGTCCGATCACTTTTATACATGGTTAAAAGGCCTTAAAATATAATTTCTTCAAAAATATACACTTATTAGCGTTCTTGCTAGGCATTAGCTGAGTATACCATTTTCAGGTCTGTACACTAAATGTAAAGCTAGTGCAAACAAACAATTAGCCTAGCATTAGCTTCTTTAGCACAAAAACAGGGGGACCAGCAGGCCTGGCTCTATCAAGAGGTCCAGCTCCAAATTGTACTTATTAACACAAAAAAGTGTTACAATGACAAGTTGTACTTTTACAGGAAGTTTTGTACTGGATAATATATTAGCAGCACAGGGTTATCCTGAAGTCTTATTGGTAGGCATCTAGCGCATATCCCCTGCTTCCATTCTTTATGCTAAGCTAAGCTAATTGTCTTCTAGCTCTAGCTTTATATTTAGCAGAGCGGTTGTTTAAGTTTTGGCAAGAAAAAGTACTCCCTAACTACTATTTCACATAACTTTTCCTTTCAGCATGCAGACTAGAGCATTAGTATGATAATAGAGAAGTTACTGATCATGACACCATAAAACATTGAGGATTATTTTTTCTCATAGTCTACTTACTTTTTATTGAAGCATGACAATATATCATGGAGGAGGTGAAAGATGTGCATACTTAAGATATTTTGTCTTTCCACTAAAAATGAACTACAGTTATGGGAAGTACATCCAGGTAAACACCAAACAACTATTACAGATGTATACGTATATGTAACTATTTACTATCTGATTATTACAGTATTTATAGGGTATAGGTTTTTTAGTTTTTAAGGTTGGGGTTATTGTCCTTGTAGTGAGCATTTGAATGTGATTTTATATTCATGGGGAAAAAAGAAAGAACAAAAGACATAACAAAAAAGAATAAGTATGATCAATTAAACAGATAAAAAAATAGGGTGTTTTATAATTAAATAGTATGTGTAATATTAGTTGAATGGTTATTTAAATGAAAATATAGTTTCCTAATTATCACTATTATGTAAAAAACCCAAAACTGCATATCATAGTAAATGACATATAACAACATACCTTCAATTCATTTGCTTCAATGTAGCCACTGCGGTCTGTATCATATCGCCGCCATGCCTACAAGAAATCAACAAAGAAATATTGGATTGAAAGCCGTTTTCAGCACAATGCCACTCTTCTCCAGAGTGATTTACATGTCCAGCACTCCCCCCCCCCCCCCCCCCCGGAGTCGTTCCAGTGGGGAAAACCACAAAAGCCTGGCCCATCAATGTAATCACACACTCTTCAATACAATCCCATTCTCCTGCATACAGAGTAGAGACAGAGTCAGAGAAATGAGGGAGAGAAAGTCATTTTAATGAATGTTTTAATCTAGCAGCTGTCCCTGTCCGAAGAAGGGCTCCTTATCAAAGATGGATGGCCTTCCCCCTTTCTTCCTCCTCCCCTTCTGCTCCTCCTCTGGGCTCCGCAAAGAGGAGCTACAGTGGTGTTATCCATTATATATGACTCTAGAAATAGAAGGTTCTGCTTCCTCATTCTAACCCTTTAAAAACCTCTCTGCCCACATCCTCCTTGCTGCACCCTTCCACGAAGACTGATTAATCCTCCTCTCTTGTTTTATGCTCTCAGACTCTGGCTCTCAACTTCCCATCGACATTTCATTTACACCCTCTCTGTTCCTGCTTTCTCCCGCTTGCCCTTTGTATCCTTCTCCCTCCACACCTTCTCATTCACTCATCCAGCTTCTCTCGTTTCATTATTCCTTTACGATATGACACAGGGGACCAGGAGAGCCTTTCCCCCAGCATGTAATTGCTTTCTAATTGGCTCCTTTCTTTCATTGCAGCAGATCTAACATGAAATCTGGCATTTTCTTATCTTCCAAAGGTATTTTGTGGAATAAATTATTTCCCTTTTCAAGTACCTTTCAACACACATCTTGCTCTGCTGAAGGCTTTCTGTTACTTCTACAATCATTCATTATTCATCATTTACAGCAGCCGTGGCACTAAACTTTTTTATACCGTACATTAAACTTTTTAAATATAACTAAACACTCAACTGCTCTTATAGGCCCACATTATTATACGATATACTTTATGTGTTTTCATATCTCTCGTTATCTTACGAGCTCAAATGATTTAGGTGCCCTGCTCACTGTGACCGTTTTGTAGGTTACACATCAGACATTGACAGACCGAGAAGTTATACTTTCAGAACCAATCAGCTATATGCTTGATGACAGTTAGCAGCGAGCAATATTTTGGTAGTTCTGAATTAGCCAGCAGGAATATGGGCCATTATCCTTGTGCCAGTCATTGTTTACAGTCCGGTTAGCAACACACAAGCTAATATTAAACTAAATCTAGCTAGCCAAAGCCGGCTCTAACATGATTGTTCAATATTTTTCGGACTAGAAACGGAAACCAGAAATCCGCTATCAAAATCTTGTCTTTTTGTCTAGGTTTTTTTCTCCAGACTACTGCAGTTTATTTCACTCATTAGCATACCTTCATCGTTCATGGGGAATTAATCCCTGAAATTAGCTGGTAGGCAGGAATAAGAACATGCAGGCTGTCTCCTTGGTTGACTGACTCTGGGCGATAATGTATGGTTGGTGTAAGCGCGTGTGTCCTGACTAATGGCAATCCTTAGTGTGCAAGAAACAGACAGCAGGGTAGGGGACAGCAGCTTTGCATACAACAATATATATATCCTAGACCTAGACCATCCACAAACACTTAGAAAGTCTTACCGCCATGAACTCAGCACTGGAGCTGACAAACTGTCTGAAGCAGAGCAGGAAGTTCTCTTCAGTTGGGAGAATCTGGGCCAGCTAGGGAGAGAATGACAGGAAAATGGGAGTGGTGAGAACACAAGATGGTGGTTGATTTGATGCGAGAGAAGTGATGGAGAGCTTTTTGTCAGCCTCAAAAGGGCAACACGGACATAAATAATAGAGAGCCATAACCTCAGAAGCTGGGCTATGCCTAGATTAGAATATGTTCTAAACAATATTTTTGACTCAGGGAAAGGCTTTGCACCTGATTTTTACTCCAACAGCTGAACCGAAAAAATAATTTACAGATTTTCCGTGCAGCGAGAGGATTATTGATATATTCCAAGCTCTCCTTCTCGCATCTCTTTGTAATCACTCTCCTAAAATGGTCAAATCGAGGGAAAGCAATATCCTAAACTGACACTCCATTGAGACTATTATAAAGACTGTATTCATACAATCGATCAGAGTATTGACCAAGCTTCTGCCTCTCGCTTGTACTGTATTCCTCAGGCTCTGGGATTTATCTAAGCTGTCTTTTTCTCACCCTCCATAGAAGGCAGACAAATTAAATGTTTCTCTTTTTTTCCAGTGTTTATGCTAAGCTAAACTAGCCAGCTATATAAAGGAGGCCTGTATCAAACTTCTCATCCACAAGAAATCCTATTTTTAACATGTCAATCTATAAAAAAGACTGAATTTCCAAGCACAACTCAAGAACCATGGCCTTACCTCCGACATCTCAATTCGTCCATCTTTGTTCTTGTCGAACTTCTGCATGAACTCCTTCATCTTCTCTCTGAATATGGGGTTTGTAGGGTCCTGGAAAACAATTGTACTCAATACAAGAGAAACCTGATTGTCAGTTTGTGTATCTTTAATCTTTAGTCATTGAACTCACCACCCCTGCCCCTCTCCGGGCCGTCTCCAACTCCCTGAAGAAGTTTTCCAGCTCCTTCCCCTCGATGTAGCCATTACCTAGAAAACAGACAGAACATAAGTTTGGGTCGTCACAACAAACCACAAATGGGCAGATGTGGTCACAGTGTCAAATGGATTCAAGCATGGCATGGTGTTGCCCCGGTAATGATTCAAACATGAGCCCTTTACCAGTGACTGCCTTCCATTTGGCTCAATGGAATAGACTATTGACTGACACAAAGCAAACTGATCACTCCTAAAATACTTTGTTTACAAGGCTGTATGCAAGGAGAAGCTGTATATAGAAAACTGCTTATCCAGGATTTTGAAGGTGATGATCCATAGACAGCTTCTTTTATTCCATGGAGATCAATCCTGCCTTCAGCGGGGAGTTTTGGCAAATGCCACAATTCGATATGGAAAGCAGTGTTGCCTACTGCCACTATTTATTCCTGATCATCTAGAAAGTGGGGATACTACATCATGAACAACTGGAACTTAACTGAGAAAATGTCATAACCTTGCTTTACCATGCTGTCAATCATTTTTGACAGACTGTCACTTTTATCAAATGGTGCTTATCAGAGAATGATGTCCATCACCTTTTTAGGGACTCTGTCATGATAAATTTAGCTTCGGGATAATACATTGTTATCATATTTCATCCTTCCTCCTGCTGTTCTGTCGCCCTGACAGTACCTATTCGAAGGACAAATGAGTACGCCCGCTTCACCCAGGTAGTCTATGAAGCCGTGCCAATATTCTATCAACAAGCATGCTGAATGGCTGGACAGATGGCTCCAAACGATGTGACTAGCTGCTTCAATAAAACCCTGGAAGGCAGAGCTGCCTCATTAAACACCAACAAAGATTATTATGCCATCCACTTCCTCTCCTCTCACTGTCTCTTTTCTGTCATCTTCTATCTAACTCCCTCTCCCTATCCAGTAAACATCTTAGCGTCTTTGTTCTATCCGTGCAAATGTTTGTGTGTGTGTGAGTGTGGGCATGCATGCATTCCTTAGTGATGTTATCAAAACTCATGAATAGAAGCACTGCTGTTTCAATAAGTGGGACAATAAAATGCCTTGCTGCTATCGCGCTTCCCTCCTGTGGGTCTTGTTGACATTTAGCACTCTGGAAAGAAATAGCCTGCTTGATAATTAAGAGTAAGATGTGATTAACTACAGAGTGAATGGCATGAGATGACAATAAAAATAGATGTATGAATAGATTATGCCGGAGCACTGTCGTACCGTCAATAAATATGGCATTAGATTCATACACCCCGTCATTAAGGGAACATCTGTTTGTACAGTGCTATTTCAGATGTAGGATAAGCTCATTCTGTTTTATTCAGCATCTGAGCCGCATCACTGTTTGCGCTATATAATGTTATATGTACTGCAGCCTGATTACAGTGTGCCCATATTGAGTAAACTGTCTTTAATCCATCAAGCGAACCCTTACTGAATATCAATGAAGCTATGCAGATACATTTTACACCAACTCACTTCCAGATCATTCAATTTAAATGTCAAATAACCCGTTTTATATGTGGTAATGAGGGCGCTCCCACCAACTTGCTTCATATACTTTGGTCTCCCAGCACAGGCACTTAAAAGCTTGCTCCAGCCAGCGAGATAAAAGGCTCACTAAACCACTTTTTGGCTAAAACACACACTCTTTCGTATACTGCGTCACTATACTCCCAGGAGGCGCTGGTAAAGCTGCGTCACTCCTCCGGTTCTGATTCTAAAATTCAACCCCAACACAGGAAAACTTTCAAAGTGGGCAGCTGTGCCAACTAAGTGCATATTTAAAGTCTAAACAAAGTGCATTTGCCTTTTAAAGGAGAGTGCAGCCCTGTCTATTCAAATGTTTCGTGATGAAATCACAGATGGGTCAATCCAGGAGGAGCCTCGAGTTCAGAATTTCCATATGCAGGTTAACAAAAAGAATTGACAGCAAATGCTCTATAATTAGCAAAAGGAACTGCAGTTGTTTCCTTTTTGTTTGGCTTTGAAGCGATTGAATTGTGAAGGCCTGACAGAGACAGCAGAGAAAGATGAGAAGGACGCAGAGCGGAGGAGCTGCAATCCAGATGAGATTTGATCCTGAGCCAACAGGGGAATATGTGGTTTCATCATCTCTGGGTACATCGCCTCCTGTGTATTTTTATCTGCAACTCAAGAGATGTTTACTCAATCTGAACAAATAATAACCCCATAACCCCAAACAAATGAGCTCTCCTTTCTTTCTGCAAGGCAAGGAGACACTCCCAGTAATGAGAGCAGAAATCAAACACTCTAGCCAAATCTGTAGATGCACACTAGTTGTATTTGATTTGCAAAGTGGCTCATTGCAAAGCACGATATGTAAAGTAGCTCAGCAGTAGGACACCTGGGGGGTATAGGACTCATCTCATCTTGACGTTCTTAGGAGGCCCAAAGAGTAAATACTATATCAGTTATGACAATTTTGTCTGCACATTGGCTCAGCTGCTGAGCTTGATTTCTCTGTGGAATACACTTCAGCATGTGTGCAGGCTTCAAAAACACATAGCGTTAACAATGAATTCCCAGGAGTGTGTGTGTAACAATCTCGTATTGTTTGCAGGTGTATTTCAAACATCTATACATAATAATCAGTATATATGTCCGAGTCGGACTCTCAACCCTTTAAAAGAAACCAAACTTGGTCTCCTTTTCATTTCGATCCCTGACAACCTGTGCTTTTTAATCAGCACTTTTATGTGTTCACAAAATGCCCATAATCCACAGAATAGAGACTTCCATGATTAGACTTGAGTCTTTCATGGCAGCAGCCTGACAACACTTGTCTTATCTGTCACACTGCAAGCAGAGATATTTGCAGAGTGCGATGGAAAGACTGAGCTGATAAATCTGTACGGGGAAAAGCAGGATCGATGCAAAAAGGAAAGACAGTGATCAAGATTAACACTGTGGAGGGAACAGGGAGTGTGAGTGAGAGGAGGAGGGGGGAGTCGCTGAATAAATTATTACACGGGACAATTTCATGTTGACAGATATCACACCACAAAATCCATTTTACTTCCACTGCATCACTACATGACTGCACTTATTGATGAAACTTAAATAAGCAAGTGAATGTGAAATGGATATCAATGAAAGAAGCATCAGGCAGAGCCAATTATAGGTAACATCCGAACTGTCAATAATTATAGAAGAAGAGACCATAAATAAATGATGAGGTGATTGCAAAATAACACGTCAATTGGGAGTTTAAATCAAGTTCCATTATCGTTGGAAAATTACAATGTCAAGGTGTACTTCATGCACCATGAGAGGACTTTTCTGAATGGTCATAAAAATTGATTGAGAGAAAGAAAGAAAGAGGCTGCATCTACTTTAACTTTCGATTTGGTGCTCATATAATATAGCCTACTGTAAAACATATAGTATTTAAAAAACATTTTGTATCAACCTTTTAAAGATGCTTTTAATTTAAAATGATGCATTAACATTTCAATACAAAAATGAAATAAACGAATACCACGTGGTTTCGGGAGTGGTTCGCATCACTAATTCATTTGAAAGACGTTGAACTTTTTAAAGGCGTGCAATATTTGGATTTATTAATGAGAAAAGTGTTTTATATTAGATAATCTACAATATGAAACGTTTTTGGCTACTGTATTCCATATTGCGTAAGAGACAAATTATATTATCACTATTTTAAGAAACTATAACATTCATAAAATAGGGATAATTGAGCTTTTATAACCTTATTACTATTGTCTCATCCAAAATGTCCTCGAAAGCTATTGTTTATCTTTCGGATCTCTTAATCCGATTGTCGCTTTAATACGCCACAACCCCAACCAATTAATAATGAATGTTTTTTCTAAACTTGATAACGGTTTTACATTATTGTTGGAGGATGCATTTAATCTTTTCCCCATGCATCACCCGTTATTTTCATTACGTATTAACCTTCATTCAGTCTGCAGCATTTTACAGCATTAATATATAATTCATAGACCTTTTTTGTTAGTTCTGGATAACTTTTGGAAAATGGGAAAAAAGTGTCCTACCGTCAGCGTCGAAATGTTTCCAAATGTCGATGAACTGGGACGCGGTGACCTCGGCCAGGTGCAGGTGAGGAGGCTGCTGTGCTTTGTTTGCCATGATGCTTTCGACGGATGCTGCTGCAGGTCAGACGCCAGAGAAAATCCGCAACTAACTTTTCTGTGTCTCTTGCTCAAACACACCCCACAATGTGGCCCCAGTGCGCCGCCCGCCGCTTTTTAACCCCGGCGCAGGAGCTGCAACACCGCCGCTCCACCGCTAGGGGCGCAGCATCCATCTGAGTCAGCTTCTATTTCTCTCTCTCTCTCTTCCAAGCTTGATGTGGATGTGATAGGACGTTTGGGGCACTGCAGTGGACAGACTCTCGTGTGTGTGTGTGTGTGTGTGTGTGTGTGTGTGTGTGTGTGTGTGTGTGTGTGTGTGTGTGTGTGTGTGTGTGTGTGTGTGTGTGTGTGTGTGTGTGTGTGTGTGTGTGTGTGTGTGTGTGTGTGTGTGTGTGTGTGTGTGTGTGTGTGTGTGAAAAAAAAGGGAGGGGAGAGAAATTGCAGATTGTTTAACTCTTGCATCATCATGCTTTACAGTAGATCCCACGTGTGTGTTTCAGTGGAAGTGCATGTGAATTCCATTATTTCTGCATGCTTGTAAAATTCTTGCCTGTGTTTCTGTGTGTGTTCCTCCCCACATCTGTGTGTGTATCTAAGCGTGCAGCTCCCCGAGCCTGTCTGCCAGTGTGTAAGGCTTCACAGACTTAATTAGAACTCACACACTAATCACATTTCCCACACTGCCTACAGCCAACGGTGATTAGCCCACATAATAAATGTAAATTCTGAAAAAGAACTTTTTTTCATTAATGGCCAGTGCTGCACAGAGGGGTTAGGCAAAGCCACAGATTCTATTAGGAGAATGATGATGAAAAAAAATACTCATATATGTCTTCATCTCATTTATTTCAAAAGACGATAATATTCAGGATGAAGCCATAAGACTGTAATGAGCAGGAGGGCAAGTATCCCTAGAAGCATTATCTTGCTGTTGATGGAATCTGTTTAAAGGCATATTTTAAAACAAAAAGAAAATGAATTATATTTTTCAATTTACTCACAGGTCAAGACAAGGACAAATGGATGTGTCATTATTAATTAATGTTAGTTAGTATGTAACAAGTACACTTAACCCCACATAGACAATTATCAATGTGTAGTTGGTTTTGTTAAAAATCATTCTACCTAACATGATAACAGTACATTTCAATCATAATTTGTTTTGCCACTAGTGGCAGCGCAATATTTTGGTTAGATGCCTGAAAGGTCTTTGGTTAACAAATATTTAAGGATAGATTTTTACGTGTTATTCAACAACATAAAATACGTCTGTAAAAAAAACCCTCACGCTTTTACATGTCATAAAAACATCAGTTGCTAACAAGTGGCTAAAACTGCTTATCGTCATCATGTCAACATTAGCCACCTTTAGCTTAGCGGTGGAGATGTAGTTAGTTTATAACCTAACACTAGCTTTTTACTTCTGGCAATTGCATTTACATTTTAAAAATCGTAAAACTTGTTTTACATGTGGAGATTATCCTGCTGAGCAAACATGTAATAAACAGATCCAACAAGCGCAAAGCAACTTTAGCATTCATTTTCTTTATATCATCTCCTGAGGAAAATGTCTAGCTGGTTTGCTTTTTCCTAAAGTTAAATGAGTAGAAAATGAATCACATTAAGTAAGTAGCTGGCACCAGGAGGCAATATAAAGACTGAAATAAGGGGAAACACTCCAAAGCTTATAAAATAATATGATACGCTTTGTTTCCAAACAGAAACATTTGTATTACTATGTATGTAGGCCTAACTGTGCTTTCTTGGTTACTAGCATTCTATATTCTGTAATGCTCACACGTCCCCGCAAAACAGTACCAGGAAACTATCAGTCTTGGGCTTTATCAGCAACTGTAACACAAATATGCTATATGAATCATATCAATTACTGTATATTGCAAGTTGATTCTGTATGTCCAAAAATAACAATGTTGAATGGTTGCTTTTAAAATATATGATTTTCGACTGTTACATAAATGATTAGCCTATGGTAAACTGAAGCTATTTTAATAATGCTTGATGTTTCTTTAATCGTACCCAGTGTAGGCTAATGATTAAGATGATCCAGACCAAGCCAAGTGTCACCCTCATGCATATGGATGCATTGTTGAACTTGAACTGTCACTTTTCCCCTAAATTGCAGAAGTCATTTTCCAGATCCGCTCTGCATGCTGGTCCAGTACAATGCTGACACACCGCTGGCACCCGACTCCTGTTGGAGGCAGCGTGTGAAAGTCAGCGGAGACATTCCCTTATTGATGCTATTTCGTACACTTGTAAAAAGTCACATTCACTAACAGTAGCACTGCTATCTCACAGACTGTGTGAGATCAGGTAGCCTACATGACAGTGCATGCATAAGAACAGCTTGTGTGTGTTACAGTGTTTAAGAGTGTAAACTCAGCAAAGCTGTCCCGCTCTATTTCCTCAGCTTCTCTTTGCACCCTATAATAATCAATAGCTGGCTCTGGCTCTGGCTCTCAGTTGGCACGGCGACAATAGATAGATCAACATTACATTACAGATGAGGCCTGTCGCCAGCCTGCGGGGACTGCCGACTCAAACACACTTCATTCTCCTCTCTTTTTCTCTTTAGTCACTCCTATCGTCTGTCTTCATCTGTGTGTCTGCTCTACCACTTCCTTCCATTCAAAGCAGAGAGCCTGCTATTTGCATCCTACACGCATATCTTTGTAGACAACTCAATTTTCGGAGTTGTGAGGCATCTGCGTTGATGTGTGCGACTACAAACCAGCCCAGTTAAGGTGCTGTGTTTGTGTTGTCGAGCTGCCTGGTTCATTTGTATTAATATTTCAGCTCCACAGTGGGGCTGTACCTCGACAGGCTGTATGTAGATGAATTATGTAACAGAGAAAAAGCTGGGCACGGAACAGCCATTTCCACTTCATCTCAATCTCACAGCGTCTTCGTCTGTTTGAGGTGTGCTTAAAGTGAAGGATTGAGGGAGGGAAAAGAGAGTGGATGTGTCGGTGAGGTGTGTGAGAGTGTTTCTCTTTTATCTCCTTGCTTTTCGCACATATCACCCTCTTCACTGATCATCATTATCGCTGAGAGAAACTCTTTTTTTCCTTGAAAACATCCAAACTGATTGCTTCTGGGGACATAACCTCTCAGTTCACACTCCCTTTCACACACAAACACAAATATGAACTCATCCACAACAGAAAATACCAGCAACCAAGTGTCATTTGAACGTTTTTATTTGAAAGCACCAACAATTGGTATGAAAATAAATTATATTTTGTCAATACACATATTGGGTTAATCCTTTATTAGATTCTAATCTGAACAGTATTATTCAACTGAACACAGTATACAGTGGTTATTTGGTCTATTGAATACAGAATGCACAATTTGGAGTTGTGCCCATACAGTGAGCATGCTGGTGCATCTCAAAAATGAATTACCGGTATGTGACTTACGAGTTTCCCTATTTTATTGTGTATGGAGCAGATCCAGATTTTACATTTCGAATTCACTCTAAATGGAAATCCCCCTTTAAGACTTCTACCATTAGCATCTTGATGTTAAGACTAAAACAAATGGTCTAAGAGGGAGACTGCTGATGTAGGACTTTTCTGGCCTTTGCAGCACTAATGAATGAGACGGTCAAGGGGACCTGGCAGCAGGTTCCAGATCAGCGCAGGGGAGATTGAAAACTGCGTATTATAGCCCTCCCTGATATTACAGTACTGCGGTCTCTTGCTGTACAAATAAAACACATCCAAATGCAATCCACCCAAGAAAAGCCTTCATACATCACTACTGCTTGACCAGATTAGCCATTACATTAGGTATTTCTTTCAGATAATATTGTTTCAGAAACTGATTCAGCCAAAAATGTCATTTTATTTTTCATGCCATAATTTCTCATAATACATATATATAATACATGATTTAAAATACATGTCTACTTAAAAAAGAAACACCTTTGATTTGATCCCAGTGTATATATATATATTCACTTGTATAGCTAAAATAACTACGTATTGTACATTTTTTATAACAATCAATCACAAAATAAAGGAATCAGGTGCCAGTTTATACTATTTGTTCCCAATAATTATTCCATATTCTCTCTTATTAGCATTTTTATCATGTGGATTAACTTCTCAGACAGTACTGGAGAAGTTTCTTCCATATGTGCATTGTGCACCAATAATTCAAGGCCAACGCATAGTGCGGTGTCTTAAGCTAGTACATGATGCATTGATAGGTGGTAGTTGCATACATTGCTCTCACTTAAGGCAAATAAGACATACAGCAATTTGCTGATACAACAAATATGGAGGGTATCATTCTACCGACCTTAATTATAGACAATGACCCAGTTAAGATACAACAAAAAAAACATTTAGCTGAGTCGTAATTAAGAACATGATCATAAAAACGACTAACCATGTCACAATTATCCCAGTATTTCTCAAGGTTTTTATGTTTTGACTAGTAGTGAGCAGCACAAACTCACCATACATATGTATTATATGAATTATAATGTTTTGTGATTAAATATCAGCCATCAGAGAGGTTTCACTCTTTGTCTATGCTGCCAGTATAACCATAACAGGAAGTACCGTAAAGGGAAAACCCAAACAACCCTGCAGCAATAATGCAGGATAGAAATACATACCGGTATTCCTTTTACATTTATTGATCCATGAACTGGGATATATGAGAACATGGTCGTTTTAAATAAGGGAATGCTATACTATAATCAGTAACCACCACAATAGTGGTTCAGTCAGACAACTCACGTGTTTCTTTAACGTGTTTATTAGAAGCAGCATATAGTTGAGTTTGGCGTCTAGGCTCGGGCCTCATCACAGATATACATAGCACGATGAGTGATGATTAAATAACTAACCCCCCGAGCCTACAGGTGGAAGCTGGGGTGGTGGTGGGGCAGGCAAGCAGCAGCGACGTGGAAGTAGCTGCAGCAATAGCAGCAGCAAGCAAAGCATAGAGAGATATCTGGCAGGTTAAATAGAGTGGCATATTAAGGAGACTCTGTTTGGTTGGTTGTAGAGCGGCAAGGGGCGTTATGTATGAATGCAGCATACTGTAAGTGCTCGAGTTGACTGCCTGAACTAGCTCGCAGGCTTCGCCTCATATTTGGAACACACAACAAAAGTCATTATGAGGCCAGGAAAAGGCTAGTCACTGTGACCTTTTTACCTGTGCTGGACTATGGTGATTTGATTTATATGAATGCACCTGCCCATTGCCTGGTCAAGTTAGATGCTGCGTATCACAGTGCACTGAGATTTGTGACAAACTGTAAATCATTAACCCATCACTGTACCCTGTATGCAAGGGCTGGTTTGCCTTCGCTAACTGTACGGAGGCTCAGTCACTGGTACATTTTTATATACAAAGCCATGTTAGGGAAACTTCCATCCTACATCTGCTCCCTGATCTCACGGCGAATTGTAAGTGGCTACTGCCTGAGATCGCATGCTGTGGTTTTATTAAATGTGCCAACTGCTTGGACTGTCTTAGGGAAGATAGCATTTAGATGCGCAGCTCCACTGTCCTGGAATAGTCTGCAATTGAAATGGAAACTGAGCAATCTGGTGCCACTCAATGTTTTTAAAGCTCGGTTGGATGCTACTCAATCGGAAGCTGTTGGTACCTGTTCATGTGGATAGTTATGTAAATTGTAATCCCTGTAATGATGCTGTATGATGTCCTTTTTGTTGTTCTGTTTATGTTTTTATGTTTCATGTGGAACCTACTTGAGCAGGTCTCCCTTGAAAAAGAGATCAATGATCTCAATGGGATACACCTGGATAAATAAAGGTTTGAAATGAAATGAAATGAAATGAAATGATTATGTCACCTACAGGTTTTAGAGACACTCAGGAAATTACTTTATCCTAAATCTGGTTTCCAGGTTTCATGATTTATGTTCCAATTATTGTTGAGCAACTCTACTTGAAACTATGATTTTTTTCCACCCGTGGTTTAACTCAAACTATGTTCAAACATTGGTTCTTCACAGTTCGGATATCTTATTTCTGGTACATATATATAGATGTCTGGTAATCTCTCGCCTATTCTCATTATATTCCTCGGAGGGTATGGTAGTGCAAAAAACTGCTCTTAAAACCCTCTCCCTCACTCCCCCAGTTAACCAAAACTATAACCACTTAATGGCGCAGTTCCACTACAGCGCGGAGCTCGCTTTAAGCGTGCCGTGCCGTGCCCGTTTTTGGTTGCGCTTCCACTAGGCCTAGTTCCGGCCCGGCCCGGCCCGGGGCCACTTTTTCACGTCTTTTCTGGCCCGAGAAAATTGTGGTTCTATCGAGGCCAACAAACAGGGCTGAGTCGGGCTGAGTATGCTAAACTAGAGAGAGGAGCGCTGGCAAGGGGGCTACAACTACAACAAGATGGACATATTTGACCGTGATTTAATTGTAATACACGTTTCAAAATGATGCCGAAGTAACAACATACTGATACCGGTTAGTAAAAACCATGAATTAATGCTTTGTCAAGTCTGCAGACAGACGGCAGGCGAAAAACCTTTTAAAATGCGTGTTTTTCTAGATGGAGATTGGCTAAGCTAATGCAGTATATGCTCCGACCGTCCACACTCACAACAACGGCCTATACAGACATAAATAAAGCAGCGACTGTATTCACCATGACACAGGCAGTCTGTGGTGTGTACTTGTTTAACTTTTGTCGAGTTTCTGAACATATATAAGGAGCTGTGAGCTCTGAGTGCTAACAGCTAACGGCTGTGTTGTGTTTCTGGAGTTCTCATTGAAGATGACGTCACGGCTCCGCTTACACTGCGTTACTATAGTAACTACCCCAGTTCCTAAACTGTAATGGAAGCGCAGCATGAAGTGAGTCGGCCCTGTTAAGGCCAAGCCGTACCGAGCCGTACCGAGGCCGACCGTGTAGTGGAAATGTGCCATTAGTACACTCACATCTTTGCCCAGTTCATCATCTGCACATTATTGTTACCCTTTATTCAAAGCTAAGATGAGTCACCGATTACTTAAAGTGGACCTATCATGCTACTGTATATTTAAATGATATATTGTAGGGCCATACCTATATAAGGTATATTTAGACGTTTCTGTTTTCGAAATACCAAACAGATCATGCATTTTAGCCATGCCTCATTTCGCTCTATGTGCTGTTTGCTGTCTACGCCCCCCTGCAGGAGAGGGTAGCCGTGCTCTGATCAGCTGCTGGGCTGTCAGAAGAGGGGGAGAAAAAGAGATCTCCGTCCTCCGTGTTTTATTATATAGAGTCGTTATTCATTTGTTTTAAAGCTCAATAAATAACAAAGAAGACCTTTGACCGGCACTTTTCTAATTTTGTCCGGAAGATTTAAACTTTAACGGACATCTTGACCGGCGAAAGAAACTGAAACTGAAACTCTGCCGCGCGGTCCCCTCGTTCCTTGGAAGAGGCGGAGAGGTGGGTGTTTGTCATCTGCTGGTGGACTAACCGGAGATAATTACAGTGCTTGCCTCGACGGGGAGGGATTGCATTGAATTAAAGCGCCGGTAGCAATCGCTTGCCTCGGGGAGGGAGAAAAAAAGCCACAGCGGAGAATAAACAGAAGGGTAACCATGGTAACTATGGGCGGGAAGTCTTCTTCGCTGCTTTTGTGGCAGACTACAGCGCCACTTACAGGCCTGGCCTATGTACTACAGCGTCTCCAGCGCTTTCGAGCGGCAATGGCCGGCCGTGGCCCAACCCCACATTCCCCTGATAGGTGGAGAGTTGGCCCAATAGCCGTAGCGCCACTTCTGTGATGACATAGAAGTGTTCAAATCTGGATCAGTCTGTATCAGATCCGTTGCAGCCCCTTTTTTAGAGATTTGGGTATGGAGGAAAATAGAGAGGGTTGTGTTTTCTGACACTTGGTGAGTTCCCTGGAACACCGGGGACACATATTCATGTATAAAAGACGTACAAAAGTGCATTTTGCATGATAGGTCCCCTTTAAAGGTACTAGAGGCTGAAGGGACTAGATATTGGTGATGAGGTGGCTGACGAGCCTCTGGAGGTCCTGGGATCTGCGCTCGGTGGTCTTCAGCACCTCCTCATGGTTAGCCCTCTCTGTGCTGTCATATTCTGTCACCACCTTATTGGTGATGAGGGACAGACCCAAGACGCGCAAGCCACAGTGACGCGCCACCAGTACCTCTGGCACCGTGCTCATACCTGCAGAGAGGAGAGCTCTGTTAGAGGTACACTCACATCATAGTATAGTATAGCATAGCATAGCATAGCGTTGCATAGCATAGCATAGCATAACAAAGAATAACAGTATAGTATAGTATGGTAAAGTATAGTATATCATCTAGTGTATTACCATAACGTAATGTAAAGTACAGTGTACTATAACAGCATAGCATAGTATAGTAAAGTAAAGTAGAGTATATCATCTAGTGTATTAGCATATTGAATGTTTAAGAACAGTATATATAGTACCGTATCTATAGTATGGTTTAGTACTCTATAATATAGTATAGAACTGTAAAGTATAGTACTGTATAATATAGTATCCAGAGTATAGTTTAGTACTGTATAGTATAGTATAATATGGCATAAAATAGTATAGTAACGTATAGAATGTTATAGTTTAGTAACGCATAGTACAGCATTGTATAGTATAGCACCGTACAGTTTAGTAATTTATAGTATAGTACTGCATAGTGTAGTATTGTATATTACAATATCATACTCATAATAGGAATAATATTTATAACTATAGCCTTTTTGTTTATATTTAGGGAAATTAAGGCATGCTGCCTGCTTACGGGGAATACTTCTACAAAATGTCAATGCTGTTTGTATCTGTTTGGTTCACATTATCTGTTCTTATCAGATTAATGAATTCATATTGATTTGAATATCCCTAGTAAGCTGTTGTAGATGCACTGTTAAAAGGAGGTCCCACAACGCATCAGTATTCCTTAAGTGAGCAGAGAGCTGTACTCACCCACAGCATCAGCCCCCAGCATCTGCAGGGCTCTGCACTCTGCAACAGTCTCGTATGTCGGTCCAGCCAGCATGCAGTAAACTCCCTCCTGCAGGAAGCTGTCGCAGCCCTGCTCCTTTGCTGTCTGCTTGACCAGAGCGCCCAGCTCGCGGTCGTAGGCATCAGACATGCAAGGGAAACGCACTCCAAACCTGGACAGACATTGCAATGTATAAATATCACTCAAAAAATGTTGTTTCATTTTGTGTTTGTGCTGCTGTACCTATCATCATTGTGCCCACAGAGCGGATTCTGCCCTGCGAGGCCCGGCATGTTGATGTGATCCTTAATGAGCATGATGTCTCCAACTTCATAGCAACCATTGAGCCCCCCCGCTGCGTTTGTCACAATCAGAGTTTCCACGCCCAGCAGGTAGAAGACTCGCACTGGGTACGTCACCTGGAGTGAAAAACATATGCTTCAGAGACAGATACTGTTCTTCTTTTATTGCTCTGATGTACCAAATTATAACAAATGGGTTTTATAAGATTGGGGTCACCCAGAAACAAAAAAGTGTAAAAACTAATCACATGAGAAGCCAATATTTTAAAAGCTGCAGACACTAATATCTGTAGGCTCTGAGTTTTTATTACTTGAGGTCTTGGTTGAACTGAATACCTTTTTGTACTAACCTTTATAGGGCATTGCAGTCACATTTAGAAATTGCTTTTTCTATTTCCCATTCCTCTACAGCTTGAATTGCCTGTGAAAGTGTTCTACTAGTTAGTGCAGAAATGTTTATTGATAAGGTCAGTGCTGTCATGCTGTCATTTCAGAACATTGCATATTTAAACAGTAGACTGTTTTGTAAGTTGACTTGTGGCTTTGTTGTGGAGGAAGTTTAAGCAAATATGTAATAGCAGACCTGTCAACTAGTTACAATACAGTTACAGGCAGCTGTTAATATAGAGTTGACATTATTAAATCATTTGCTAAAAACCTCCTGGATGGCTATACACATTTGCTAAGCTAGTTTTCTGTCAATTATTATTTATGTCACCTGACAAGGAGGGAGAAAGAAAAGTCACACAGAAACAGCAGAGAACAATATTAAGAGTCATGCTAGTGGCTCAGTGAAGGATTGGGTCAGACTCAGGCTTGGTTAGCTAATGCTAACGGCAACATGCTAACATGCCTAAAATGAAAATGCTAGCAAGTACATGTTCAGCATTTAGAAGCTTGTGTTAAGAATGTTGGTGTCACTTTTACCAGGCTAACCATTTTATTTGAGTATTTTAGCTAGCTAACACATGCTAATTAGCACTAACCACAAAGTACAGCTGATGCTGATGGGTTTGTCATTTTTTTATACTCAATGAGGATAAATTAAAAACATGGGCTACATTTGTATCCACACTGCTAGTGTTTGTTATGATAACTGACTCTCATTTCATCTGATTTATAGATTTGTTCAATTTGCCATGAAAGCATAATTGTCTGGTAAAATGTACCACTATTGGCTTTGGCTGAATCAAATCTTTTTCAGTTCAACTCATTTTATGGTGATTTCATGGCAAGAGGCATTTCATACTTTATAAAGCTGTCTAAAGTCCCAGCTGGAAACGGGAAGGTCATACTGCATCTGTTTCTGTTACTCATTTCTCTTTGTATGAAACTGGCTTTATGATTCAGTTGGGTTATATGGATCATTTTATGTGGAGATGGCACATCACGGCCGGTGATAAAATAAATAAAGCCAGCATACAGTGTCTCCACAGGACAAAGGCTGATCCCATATCAACACTATGACACACTATGTGGTTTTCATATTGTCATCATGATTCTGCAGCTGATCATACAGCGCACAAAGTACATTTTTATAATAACAGTGAGCAAAATGAGTTTGCTATAGACCAGGTTTAAACAAAATGGTATTATAAGATGACAAAATCATGATTGTGCTATAGATAAAAGCTTAAATGTTTGTACGAGCAGTTTTATTTGAAAGGGTATGTAAAATGATACAAAAGGAAGTCCAATTTGAAAAATCTCACTTGCAGTTTGATATACAGTAAGTATAAAACTATAACTAACTTCAAATTGGAACTGTACATTTGTGGCACAATGAATAATGAATGAGGACATTTGAATGGTGTGTCTTGTGAAGAGCCTCTTTCTGTGACAAGCATAACAGAGTTAGTGTTTGTACTTGCATGGTTTAAAGATTGTTTTTCTCCAAGTTATTGACATACTGCAGTCAGAGTTTAAACTGCCATCTTTTGTGCAGTTATTCTGTATAGTATATCATTTGCATCAGCAAGGTTTTCATTTCCGTCTCAGATTCTTGTGACGGTTAATGAAGGCAAAAAAAATGGCTAATCCTTCTCTAAACTATTGGCCCCTATGCTATTGTGCATATGTTCCCCTAAACATTTCATATGCTGGGTACTGCTAGGATACATTGTCGAGCAACTCAAAATATCAGTCTGTAGTATAAGGCTACGGTTTTATAGTGAACAAAAAGAAAAATTCTTCTGAAAACATAAGCATGTACTGTAGCACTACCCGATGCTAACTAAGTTTAGAAATCTGTGAGGATGAGCAGAGGGAGGCTCAAAGAAAGAGTTAACATTATACTTAACATCTAACATTTCTCAAAACAAGCATTGGTGTCAGAATCAACAACTTGTCTGAAGAGCTGTAACTAAGTTCTATGAAGTGCTGTTTGCCTCGGGCTACTGCTAGCAGGATCTATATGAGCGGGATCTATATGAGCAGGATGTGTGTATGGTTGAACAGTAACAGTTGCTGGCTCTGCATTGGCATCTTAAAGGTTATGGCAGCAATACATCCAAAGATACTCTCAGTTGTTTGCGCATGGTTTCAAAAACGTTTAGTATGCATTTCCTTTATTTATTCTAAACTTTTATATTTGTTTGTGTTAATGCTGTTGTATAATGCAAAAACAAATTGGTAACATCATTCAAATGTATGTAACGGTAGCATACTAGTCCGGGTATTGTTGAATCTCGTTTTTCTAATCTGTTGTTGTTTGTTGCGTCAACATTTTCTAGCACCTGCTATAAACAGTCCAGCCTCCTGTATCTTTCTGAGATGTGTGCTATCACTGGTCAGCAGGTGCATAACATTGTGGGTAATGCTGTTGTCTGGGAGTTTAAATAAATGATTTAATGTGAAATTCAATTTTGAATGCTAACTAGCTACCTAGCGTTGGTTGCATTGGTGGTTTCGGTGTCACTGAAGTCAGCTTGTGTAGTTTCTAGGGCAATAATGACAATGCTCTGTTTTGACCCATTGAGCCTTTATATATCTTGAACATTATTAATAGCGGTCCAACCATCTGACCAACCAGTGGATTCCCAACTTTGGTTAAGACCACTTTTTTGATAATCAATTAATTGTGTAATTAATAAATAATTTCATGTTTTTCTCAGTTTTTTATTATTTAAGGTTTATATGTGGGTTTTTACCTGAGACATACTGAGAGACATAACCTTGGACTTGAAGAAACTGGGCATTTTTCAGCACTAAAACTAATCTCATCAGCTTTAGGTCATCAGGTCCGGCAGTGGCTCAGTCAGTAGGGGCTTGGACTGGGAGCCGTAGGGTCGCTGGTTCAAGTCCCCGACCAGACCTAAATATGGAGTGTGGACTTCTACTTGGAGAGGTCCCAGTTCACCTCCTGCCCTGCCGTGGTGCCCTTGAGCAAGGCACCGGACACCCCCCTTCCCCCCCACTCCCATTGCTCCCCGGGCGCTGTACAATAGCTGCCCACTGCTCCTAGTACTAGACTCCTTGTACTAGGATGGGTTAAAAGCAGAGGCCAAATTTCACTGTGTGTGCTGTGTGCTCTGCATGTGTGACCATTAAAGAGGGTTTCATCCCTCCCTATTCTATTCTATTTAGCTGTACTCCTTGTTTACGGCTAACTAGCAAGTATTAGCATGCTACAGGCTAAACCAAGATGGTGAACCTGGAAGATTAATATGTTAGCAGTTTTTAGCTAAAAAAGGATAGAATAGCACATCTAATAGTACATCATTGGACTTTTTACCTCATTTACAGCTCATCTCTAGCAAAAACACTGTCCTAGCCCAACCCAGTCTCACGGCATCTCGTGTTATTAGTCACGAAATTAATTTAATCTATTGATTCGTGTTCACCAACACGATTTTCACATTTTTTTCGTGTCACACAGAACGATTTTAAATGCAATGTATTTCTATTGGTAGTATGTTTCGTGCCTGCAACACGTCTTTTTGTCCGGTCAGGTCTTGGAAGACCAGAAGCTGTGTGGTTCATAAAAACATTTTCTTACTCAATATCTTACCCTAAGCCTAACCCTATCCCTTTTATTTTAAATTGTATAATGTCTGAGTTTTTTTGCCGTCAGTGAGGAAAAGAAATGGGGCTCAGAGCCTCAGAATACTGAAATCTGTATTTTATGTCATCTTTTTTTCCTTCTAATTTGTTATTATTTGGTGCAGGCACGAAACATACTACCAATATAAATACATTGCTTCTAAAATCGTTCTGTGTCAGAATACTTAAATCTGTATTTTTTTAAATGTCTTTTTCCTTCTAATTTGTTATTATTTACATTGCTTTTAAAATCGTTCTGTGTGACACGAAAAAAATGGCGAAATCGTGTTGGTGAACACGAATCAATAGATTAATTTCGTGACTATAACACGAAATGCCGTGAGACTGTGTTGCCTAGCCTTACGAATAAAAAGTACCACAAGCAGTTGCAGCAGTGGCTGTAGCTTACCGTGTGTATGTTGTAGCCCTCGTAGAAATGGAATCTCCCCTGCATGCAGACACACTCACGGCCCTGCAGCTTCCCAAACACCAGCTGACTAGTATGGCCTGGCACTGCAAACAACATACAGTATGAGCAGATGCTAGCATGCTTATGTTCTATTTCTCAACACTAGTAATATGTTCTATAGAAAAAGCAGTTTTTCAACTTACCAGTGCTGGTGGGAAAATGTGGAATATCTTTATATTGGAACACATTCCTGTCACCCAGCAGCTCTCCCAGGCCCCCCAGGCCTGACCCACAGATGATAGCTACTTTAGGACGCTGCTCTGTGTGGGCCAGCAGCCAGTCTGCTGTCTCCTTATACTCTTCATAACTGTAAGTGCTGGAAAGAATATTGACAAATGTAACTTAACACAGCTGTGACAAAGATAGGTCAGTCACTTAAATCACTATGATAAATATTTTCATGACCGTCGTCATCATTATCACCGGGAAAATAAAACCACAAATACTATCAGTCTCATATTTAGAATTTGTCATTTTATAACATAATGAAATTACAGTTAATTTAAGGGAAACATACAGCAAGTGTTGATTACATGTCTTTGTGTGTACAAAGCAGCATGGGGAAGTAATGAATGCATGCATAACAAGGTTTTCTATCTTTTTGAGAAATAAACTCTCTGAAACTCAGGCCGATCTATTTTTCATTGTCATGGTATAATAATCTTTAACAACTATGTTAAATAATTGTTAAAAGATCTGCTAGATGGGGTGCACTGTGAAATGCGAGGGTACAAGCACATGGAAAGGAGCATTAACTAAAGATAAGAATAAATACCACATTGTGCAACACACACTTATGGGTTTTTACTTTGCCATTTTATATGTATCAGCCAAATAATTATGCAGGGATGCAGATTACCTTTCGAAATGCCTTGAGGTAACACATTATGGTCTGAAAACAGTCTGTAATTCTAGTTATAAATCTGGTTGTAGAGCTATAACCTTAATGTTCCTTCAATGCCTCAAGCTTTGTTATTAAAACACAATGACACTTCAGGCTGCAGCCTTTACCAGACCAATCTGCAGCAGGAGAACCTGATGACTTTGAGCCCATTTTAAAACTGCCATCTAAGATGACAGCTACATCAGACTAGCCTTGAGGGTTCAATCTTCCCACATTTCCCCAAGTATTTCTTTTAATTGAATTCCAACTCCAAAAGGAGAAGCAAAATCGTTCATTACTGTAGTCTGGTCCCTGGTAGTCCCAAAGACAGTGTAAACAGCACAAAGTTAAAAGCAAAAAGTTAACAGGTAACAGCAAAAAGTTAAAAGCTAACAGGTAACACCAAAAAGCTAAAAGCTAACAGTAAAAAGTTGCAGCTAAAAGCTAAAAGCCAACAGCTAATAGCCTCCCAAACACCAGCTGAATGACATGGCCTGGCCCGGATATCTATTTGATATTCCTATGAAAATAACTTCACAGCGGTATTGAATCAAGTTGAAAGTATCAAAGATTTGAATACATCATGATAACGGTATAACGTACCTTCAAAAATATATACTGAATAAAGTTTCGACTCAGCATCATTTAATCAATGGCACCTCTGTTTAATGCCCACTGGCTGCTAACAGCTAACAGCTAACAGCTAACAACTAATAGCTAACAGCTAACGTTAACTAGCTCTCTTACTGCTGATTCAACTATTTGCCTTGGTCGGGGGTCATCTGTATCCTATGATACCCCCCATCACGGAGGGGTGATCAATATATTCTAAAGCACAGACATATGTGACACAAGTGTTGCCTTGGCTGCCATTACCAGCCTGTTAGTTGCAGAGTTGTACTTAACATGATTGTGCAGGTGGGACTGGCAGCATTAACACACACAGCTTGCAGACATGCCTGTGTTTAGTTTAGTTTAGTTTATTTGTTTATAGTGTCGTGAACAGTCCCCATCGATGAACTGTCACAAAAACAGTAAATGGAGCAGCTTTAGCCGACATGGCTAATTTCCAGCTGTTGTCCCCGGCCAGATGGTAATAGACACCCTTAAAATCACAATATATCAACAGCATTAGTTATAAAAAAATATAAAATAAAATAAAAAGGATGAAAGACAAGTAGATACAGGCGAAAGGATAAGAGAGGATAAAAGAGAACAATAAACAACACGCGTTACTACATACAGTACATGTCACATATAGCACATCACAATCACATAACAGAAATGAGGGGCAGCATCCATGATCACAACATGTAACACAACATGTAACACTCACGCCATACTCAACACAGACTAGTGTGTGCAGGTGTAGTTCTCAGTGAACCATGTTTTTAAGTGAGCTGTGAAGGTGGTATGTGTATGTAATGTCTTTGATTTGAGAGGGTAGAGAGTTCCAGTTTTGTATTGCTCTGACCGAGAATGATGACTGACCAAAAGTACTCTTCCTGAATGGGACTGATAGGTCGCCACGTGTGGAGCTTCTAGTGGTCAGTCTGGTGTTGTTACGTTGAGTAACCAATGAGTTAAGAGGTGGAGGGGCTGTATTATGCAGGATTTTGTACACCAGAACGATGTTCCTATACTTTATTAAATCTTCCCAACTCAGGATGTTATGCTTGTTGAGGGTACAGTGATGGGAGCGGTTAGGTTTCTGGTCCAGTATTTTGAGGGTTTGTTTGTACAGGGTTGCTTGTGGCTGTTAGTTTGCCCCCAGCTTGTGAGACAGTATGTTAGATGTGACATGATCATGGCATTCATGTATAACTTGGCAGAATTCAATGTCATTGTGTTTCTTATGTATTTAAAATTTGCTAGGCTAAACTTTACTCTTTGGGTCACTTTTTTTACTTGTGTTTTGAATGTTAAATTAGAGTCAATAATGATTCCAAGGTACTTAACCTGAGGCACAATATTAATATGTTCACCTGAGATGCTTATATTTGACACAATGTTGCATTTTCTTTTTGTGAAAAACATTCCTACTGTTTTGTTAACCTTAAGCTGAAGACAGGAACGGTGTAGCCAGCTAGTGATCAGCACTAAAACTGAGGTCAGTTTATCAGCAGCCTTTTGCTTTGTATTGGCATGCACATATATCACAGTGTCATCTGCATATAGCTGTGTTTCCACATCAGGACAGACAGATGGCAGGTCATTAATATATAGGGTAAAAAGAAGTGGACCAAGTATTGAACCTTGTGGTACTCCGGTGCTTAAGTCTAGAGCTGGAGAGAGTCGATTATTGACGGTAACATGCTGACGCCTACCAGTGAGGTATGATTCAATCCAACTGAGTGTTAATGGAGAGCAGTTAAAAGCCGACAGTTTGGACAGAAGGACCTTATATCTGTCTGAAGGACTGTATCAAAAGCTTTGCGTAGATCCAGAAATACTGCACCAACAACACCTCCTTTGGCAACCATTGTTTTGACCTTTTCTATAAAAAAGCAGTTGGCGGTTTCGGTTGAATAATTTGCCCTGAAGCCAAACTGCATGGGATGAAGTTGAAATGGATTGTTGTTTAAGAAGGAGACAAGCTGTTCTGACACCCACTTCTCAGTCACCTTGGATACTACAGGTAAGATGCTAATTGGGCGGTAGTTGTTGATGTTCAGATGGTCACCTGACTTGAAAATGGGGGTTACAATTGCAGTCTTCCATGCACTTGGGAATGTCCCATGTGATACAGATGAATTGGGTAAGAGGGCAGACTAGGTAATCTTGCAGTGATTTAGGCCCCGGCTCCACGAGGACAAATACGGCAAAACGCATCGGAGTAACGCAAATGCAACCGCAAAAAACCTTCCGTCCCCACGCAATATACACCGGATTGTGTCAAGCTCCACGAGACGGCTCCGTTTACATCCAAACGTTGGGAAAGCTGCAGTACATATGCCGAACCTGTACGTGGCGCTGTAACTTCCTCCACAAAAGCAGCAACTTCCTCCACAAAAGCAGCGAAGAAGAATGGTTGTCATGGCTGCACTTCTGTGTATTCTCCGCGGTGGGGGCCGACAGAACAGGGCAGAGTTTTTCGCCGGTCAGCGTGTGTTAAAGTTTAAATCTTCCGGACAAAATTATAAAAGTGCCGGTCAAAGGTCTTCATTGTTATTTATTGAGCTTTAAAACAAATGAATAATGACGATATAATGATATATAATCATCAAATACACTGAGCCTGTCTCTTTTTCCTCTCTTCTGACAGCGTCAGTGTCTGTCTCATGCAGCAGCTGATCCTGTAATGAGTGACCCGACAGTAAAAATGAACATATTTATAACTAGTTTAGGTAGTTTGAGAGGTAATTAAAATAGCTAAGGGTGATGATCTGACTTGAAGTGTGTGTTTTGCTCCCGCTGCATCACAGCGGCAGGAGCTGCGTGTCTCCGTCCTGTCAGATTAGACTTCACTCGCGTTTATGTCCATATCGAGATAAAGATAAATAATCTGAATTCAAGGAGGAGCTCCTGTAGATGTTGCACAAAGAACTGTAGCATGGTCAGTAGCGACTGGAGCACGATAGCAACCCTGCGGGGGAGAGGCGGGGCTATGAAAACGAATGACCGTATAGGCGACTCCACGGCCCCGTTGGACCCCCCAGAGCGCTCCGTTCCCAGATCTATCCACCTTTGGACCCGTTGTCGTTTGCGGGGTCTGTTTCTACGTTTCCCTTACGGCGTCGTCGAGCTTAGAGGGCTATACGCATGAGAAATATGCGGATTCAACCCGTTTTCGTCCTCGTGGAGCCGGGGCCTAAAGCATTGTAGAATCCATAGCGTATGTGTCCTTAGCTGTCGACGTTTTAAGAGAATTAATAATTGCTTTGGTTTTTAATTCTGATATGGGTTGAATGCAAAAGGACATCTTACTTTCGTCGACTTTGATAATATGTTCTGCTCTCAAGGGAAAGTTCTGTGCAATCTCATCTACAGAGTTGATAAAATATGTATTAAAAGCTATGGCAAGTTGTTCTGGGTCTTGCACTAGGTTACCATTCTCTTTTAGTTCTAGCTGCTTTTTTGGCCTGTGCTTGATTCCCAGTAAGGTTTTAATCTGTTCCCAAATTATTTTAGTGTTACCTTTTGCCTCATTAATTATTGTTATGAAGAAGTTGGCTTTGGCCTTTCTGATTGTTTGAGTTACTTTGTTACGTAATGAAGTAAACCTATGCCTGTCAGTAGTTAGTTTAGTTTTCAGTGCTCTTTTCAGTGCAAATCTCTTTCCTTCATCAAGTTCAATATGTCCGTATTGAACCAAGGGAGTGCATTGTTTTTGTTTTTTTCACTTGTTTTTGTTTTTTCCACTTGTTTTTGTTTTTTCTTCTTCTGTTTTTTTATTCATAATCAGATTCACTGTTTGTGCCCGTTTAAAGGTT